AAAAAAAAAAAAAAAAAAAAAGAAAAGAAGATCTTGGTCCCGTGTCGTTTGCCTTCCATTGTGTCTCCGTGTCTTCCGTAGTGGATTTGCGTGTAAGATTTAAGATAATTGTAATGACATTGATGACACAGGAGAATCTAATTCAGTTTGTTATCGTTTCGACAAGCATTGCCTTGATTCATCCGATATACGTGGATCTAACGAATCTGTGCATTTCACATGCATTTCATTCACGAGTACCGAATGACGAGCACGTGACTCGAGAGCACTATAGGAGGCTGACAATTTTGGACATCTCGTATTCGCTGTATTAAGATAATGTTTACAGCAATAAACATGTAAATTACTATCTAGCCTATGGAGTATTGTTTTTTTTCGAATGTAAAACGCAGCAATTCTTTGTCAGTTGAATGTGATAATTCCGTTTTTCACGCGTGAACACGTGTATTGTATCTCGCAGTATAGTTCCTGGTACATCAGGCTGATCGTCCTTTGTCTTTCTTCTTTTATATATGTATGTGCTAGAATTTCGTATGCAAGGATATCATTGAATCATGCTACCTTGACGCACAAAGATCATTACTGCGTTTTCTCATATATTATCCTTAACCCCTGAATCTGATTAGGACTGTTCCAGACCATATGGTGACGGTATAATGTGTAACATGGTGGTGGTAGCGATTAACATTGTTTGAAATAGCAAAATAGAAAGAAGATGGCAAAATAGAGATAAGTCTGTGGTTGAGCAATAAGAAGAAGAAGGATGTTCAGAAGAAGAAAGAGGAGGAGGAGGAGGAGGAGGAGGAAGAAAAGAGCAGATCAAAGAAAGGAAACGAAGAAAATTATACATTAATATTTAATTCGTATTATATCTGATTGAGTGTAACGTGTACCCGAGCGTTCTAGAAGTACAATGCACCGACTGTAACAGACCTAATCAGACTTATTATGCGAATTATTTAAAATATTTATTCTTAATTGCTCGACGTTTTAAATATAATTGTTTTATGCAAGGAACAATAACAAATACATACATATAGAACAATAAGAATAGTATTGTAAAAGGCGACTTTCTCGTTTATCTTCCACGATTCTGGATGACGTACATTAAGAGATTGATGATAAACGAAAATTGAAAGAAAACGTCACAATTTAATATTGCGTGAAATAACTTTCGAACATAGTATTGCACATGTATGTATCTCGTAGGTAAGTATAAGTTAGTTTCGGCTTTTCTAAGCAGAAACACGTAAACGAGTCAATGATTTCAAGGAGGAAAAAACCACGATTGCTTATACACAATAACTCACTCTGCTATCGTTTCTTCTTCCCTTTTTCTTTTTCGTTTTATTTGTTAATTGAAACGAGGAGTTTGAGAGAATTTACGCTGCCGAGAGACATTATATGAATCGACGTGTTATTATACGAGCTGAGTCGCGAAA